TGGGACAACAGCTTAAAGGTTTGTGGGAGATATAGTTCTCCCAGGAGCTCAGTCTTTCAGAGGAATCTATTTCCCAAGTGCTGTTAATCAGCATTCTGGAGTGTCTGAGAAGGAAGAAGAAGAAAACCCTTCTCCCTTTGCACTATGCACCTCTCAGACTGTTGACCAGTATACTAGATAGCACTGCAATTCTTATTGCATAATATACATAATTTAGTACAACAAAAGCAAAATGTGTACACTTGTAAATTCTCTAATATATTTGAAATCAAATGAACACACATCTGTCAATCTTTGAAAGTCCGTAGAAATATAATAGTTGAAACAAAGTAATAGATGCTATTCTGTGGGCTAAACGGTAAAACTTTTTAGGCGTTCATGGTGCCGAAGTAGTAAGTGAATGACAATCTGTTTCGCTGGAATCTTCTTCAGCACAACCCATAGATTAGAAAAATGCACAAGGAGCAGTGGTCATATGACATGTGTTTATTTGATTTCAAATATATTAGAGAATTTACAAGTGTACACATTTTTGTTCTTGTTGTACTAAATTATGTATATTATTCAATAAGAATTGCAGTGCTATCTAGTATACTGGTCATCGTGTTGCTTGTGTTGTTTGTTGTGTTAAGTCTGCAACACAGGGGTTTGTTGATCTGTACCTCTCAGACTGTTGGCATCATTGTATATATTGAAAGTAAATGGTGAGGTGTGTTTCAAGGGTGTGTGCTGGTGGGGCATGCTTCTGGAAACAGAAAGGATGGATAATGTAATCTGAGTCCTACGAATTTCCCTAGTTTTCCTCTCCCCTCCCTCCAGGAAATCCCTTCCCCAGTTAATTGCTAAATTAATCTAATGCAGGTCTCTGAGATAATGTCCATCTCTGTTCATGTATGACTCCCATCTTACATGTAGCTAGTGTTAAATACAAGGCTAGCGTGATCATCACTGGCTACTTTAGCCATAACCATTATTGCTTTCAGTGGGACTTAATTCTTAGCAGATTGGGTTAAGTCACACTCATTATTTAAATGGTGGGCCACCACTAGACCTTTTGGTGTAGTTTCATAGAATTTTTCTCTGATTACTTGGTAGTTTCTGAAAAATGTGCGCTGTTGATTTAATAAACACACTTTCCAGTTACACAAAAAATCAAGATAGTGCACAACATATACAAATACAATAGTATAAAACAATACAAAATTGTCACTAAAATGACTAACTCAACTTTTGAAAATTAAACAACTGGACAGGCCTGCTGGCATTAAATGGTCTTCAAGAGATGCCTGGAAATTAGTAGCTAGGAAGCATGCTGAATCTCTGCTGGAAGGAGTAGTCCACAACGTGGGACCAGTGACACAAAATGGCCTAGTTGGAGCAAGTTGGGTTTCTGAAACCCTGGGATAATTAACATCACAGCTGGGATATAAGGGCTCAGGCAGACCGTAGTGTCAGGCATCAGAGAATCCGATCCTCCCACGGCAGGCTGCCAGGGATAGACAGACAAGAAAAGCTCTTACCAAAGCCTTTTATTCAATATTCACAGAGAGAAGCTTAGAAAGGCAACCTCTTGGAGTAATGGCGTTGCTCCAAGTAAACTCCCTCCCTCTTTCCTTCTCAGTTGTCAACAGCAGCACCCCCCCCTCTTACGGTGGCTGTTTAAGGCCATTTGCCTCTTAGCTCTTTGCTCTCCTACTTTCAATGCTCGCCGGGTTCTGGGAGAAAGGGGGTCTGGAATGCTTTCTAGTGATAACGTGTCAGCCAGCTGCTCCGGTTCTCCTTGCTTCCCCCCTTCTCCCATTATTTCCCAGCTTTGCCCCTCATCTATCTCTGAGCCATGACCTTCTGGAAACCACTGTTGTAAATCTATACTGTCTTCCTCTTCTCTGGAAGATTGAAGTGGAGGGGGAGGCAGTCTCCACCATTCCTCCTCAGTCCAGTCCCTGACAGTAAGGTACCTTGCCCCCAGTTTGTCCGGGGCTTTGTATATTATTACAAGAACCTTGCCAATATTAATGGTACATTTCAACGTTACTTAAGCCTCCCATGTATCATACTGTAAACCACAATTAGTGAGTCAAAATCTAATGAGATGCCTCTTTACAGCCCAACAGGACTAAGTGGTGAAACTGTAAACCCACTGAAGAATTAAGTGAATCATACCTACATCTAGGCCTCCCTCAGTTCCCTACAGCAGCTGCTAAAATATAAAGTGAAAGGAATAAAAGCACTAAATGATTTAGAAGTACAATCAGGATTCTATTATCTTTATTAAACCAGAACTAAATCAAAATATAACTCAGATATACATGCAAGCAGAACATTAAAAACAAACAGGAAATTGGAAATGAGAGCAGAGTAGCTCCAAAGTGTTATGCCTTGGAACATGAACAAGTAAATAACTTCAGACTGCAATTAAAGAAGAAAAAATGATCAGAGAAATAACCCACAGGTGTACAGATGAAGTAACTTTCAAGCTTGGCCCATCTTACCAAGTTTCACTATGAATAATAAAATGGAACTTAAACCAAAGGGGGGGGAATCACTACTGTTCCCCATTATTACCGTAAATGCAAAGAAAAAAAAGTAGGTGGAGATCATGTTTCCAAGGCATCCCGTTAATCTGTTACATATCAACAGTCCCCAAAAGCCCCAAACGAAGAGAAATCCCCACATTCATTGGCAGACTGCATGCCGCACTTCACGTTTTCTTCACCCCATGCCAGGCGTTGTGACGCCAAATTAAATTCTGACTTCTTTTTTCACATTTCCATTTCTGTTTATCAGATTTCCTGCCTGCCCCAAATTGTCTGTATCTCTGGCAATCTAAATCTTGATCCTTATACACAGTGGCTGGTGACTAATGTAAAAAGTAAAAGTTCCTCTTCAGGCGCCTCTCTCAACGTGTTCCAAAGTGCGCTTCCTGGTGTCTAAGGCTCACTTGTCAGGCTTGCACTTCTTCCAAACATATATATGGACATAAGAGTCCTGCTCAATCAGCCCAAAGGCTATCTGGTCCACCATCCTATATTCTCACAGTGGCCAACATGAGGCCTATGAAATGCCCACAAACAGGACTGCATATAACAGCACTCTCTACCCACTTAGTATACTGGGCAAGTCAGATTCAAAGGCATACCATCTGACAATGGACTACCTTATCCTTCATGAATTGGTCTAATCCTTCTTTAAAGCCATCCAAGTTGGCTGCCATCACTATATCTAGAGAGAGAAAGGATTGTATAATTAAACTTTCTCCATCCTGTGTTCTAGCATTAGGAGAAGAGAAGGAAAACTTGTTTCTATCAACTTCCTCTTCTATTGTGTCTGCCCTTACTCACTTTTTTCCTAAATTAAAAAGCTCAAAACTTTTCCTCATTGGGGGCGGGGGGACTCAGGCAAGGTTTCCTTTCATGAGAGTGTTGCACTCCAAAGTACACACAACCTAAACACTGCAAGAGCTGGTTTAGAACATGCCGGAAGTCAAACATCGGAATCCTCTGCTAGGCCCATAACCTACTGTCAGTAGATCATTGATGCCTGACCCAGCAAAACTGTAAAATCACCACTACCTTGAGAAAGTAGCTGCCTGCATTAAAAAAAGGGGGAGCCCTCTCAGGTACAATCTTATGCCGGTTTATTGAAGATCTCATAAAGTTAAAAACAGCATCATTTGAGACATCAAGCAGTAGATTACATACATGCATTGCCTACATGTAAAACACCTAGAATGGAAGGAATTGACAAGTGGTCCTGCTTAGACTGTGAGACAGCAATTTCTTATATAACGGCCCAGATACTAGCCACAAAAAAGCTGTTAATCAACACCAAGTAACTGTTTCTAGAAAAAAAAGAACTTTGTAAAGCATTTATTGCACTGACGCTTTCAGGGAAGGTTAGGAATTTATACGCACTTTCGTTGTAAGATCACCCACTTTTCCTTATTTAAGATATTCCACACCACAGATTCAGGCACCCATGTGGAGGGTCATGCCACTCAGAAGAAGCTGCTATGTGAAAAGCAATGATTTGGCATATGGACCTCACTGTGAGGCACTGAGTGCAAGACCTAGGCAAACCAGACATTAAAAACACGCCAAACCAAAGTCACCCTTAGATGGCTTGAGTTAACTTCACTGGGGCTACTCCCAGAATGAAAGAAAAAGTTTACGCTTAGGTCTTTGCCAAACTCAAGGGCTTTGTATAGCAAACATTTATATAATTCTATAAGATCTGACTCAGGGACACGGGTGGTGCTGTGGGTTAAACCAAAGAGCCTAGGACTTGCTGATCAGAAGGTCGCGGTTCGAATCCCCGCGACGGGGTGAGCTCCCGTTGCTCGGTCCCTGCTCCTGCCAACCTAGCAGTTCAAAAGCACATCAAAGTGCAAGTAGATAAATAGGTACTGCTCTGGCAGGAAGGTAAATGGCGTTTCCGTGCGCTGCTCTGGTTCGCCAGAAGCGGCTTAGTCATGCAGGCCACATGACCCGGAAGCTGTACACCGGCTCCCTCAGCCAATAAAGCGAGATGAGCGCCGTGACTGTCCATTTGATCAGAGGAACAACAGGAGAAGGCAGTGCTTAACTCTTCCCCCTCCAGATGTTTTCCTGCTCAAAATTCCATCCCCATCTGCTCCTCACTAGCTGAAAAGGGCAATTTCGAGAAGAAACTACTGGAGGGGAGAGGGTTAAGCAGCTCCAATTTGTCCCCTGACATTTCCCTGATAAAACTGGAAGCCTCTCATGACCACCCTCACATTTAAGTTGCATTAAGGGTCAGAACTCTGCTTGGCACTCCATAAGGAACTACTGGCATCCAAAACCATCTACCTCATAATCTCTCCCCTTCAGTTAAGACTACCATCCTTTCTTCTTTCAGTGAGGAAAAAATTGAATGTTGCTACAATTAAGGCTCACACATATTCACCTGTGTAGCTGAGCGAGGAACATGTTATTGACAGATAAAGATCTTATCACTTTACCATCCAAACCAAACACATGTTGGTGCAAATTCTTTAATGAAGAATTACAAGTCACAATTCTGGTGTAATTTTTGTTGTTTTTAATGGGGTACTAAATCATCGTGATATCTCTCAAAGTCCTAGGAAGGAGGTTGCCTGTGCTCTGATCTTACATTTTGCAAGTTTTATAATGTGAACAAATCTTAACTTGGCCAGATATGAACCACAGTTTTCGAGTCAGGAACTGTTTAAATCCAGCACCTTAAAAAAACAACCCCGAACTATTTGGCAGATATTCTCTCTCTCTCTCTCTCTCTCTCTCTCTCTCTCTCTCTCTCTCAAAAGCACCACTCATCTCCCTCCCTCAATCCAAACCTGCCATACTATTTAGCTCATCATAGAATAGCAGAAATATTTTTAAATATTTGCGGGTCACCTTTTAGGTAACATAGCCATTAATATAGACTGGTCTTCTTCATGATTCTCAAGAACTCCTGTTCATCTATTTCACCATCGCCATCACGGTCAGCTTCATCTATCATTTCCTGTAAAAAAAACAAAACACTGAAGATTAAGCACTGACCTGGAAGCATCCAGCACTCATTTTGTTAAGTGTTTTCTCAGCTCCATTATAATGCCCAAAATTGAAATGCTTGATGAATAAATATCCTGAATACAAACAGCAAACTCTTTTGCCAAATGCCTTTGCTTATGTAGTCAAAACAGAACTGTTTAAACACAAGGTATCAGCGGGATTTGAAGACACTCATGTTTTCAGAACTACAAAAAATAGTCATATTTTTTTTCTTTCTCTTGGGGTAAGGGGGGGGCAAACGTCCAACAATCAGGACTGAGCATGTTCAGTTCTACAAAATGATCACTGCATGTTGCAGGAGTGCGGAGAATACCAGCAAGGGGGAAATAGAACAGCATAATCCGGAAGAGGTGATGGCTGAACAGGTGTACTTCAGAGCCCTCTGAAATATGCACAAATACAATTAAACAGCCCAATGGCCCTCAGTACCACCAGCTCCAACTATTACCCAACTATTTAAAATATGCAGCATCTATGAATAAAGGCTTAGCAAAGCAAAACATTTACCTGTAACTCTTCATCTGTTAAGTTTTCTCCAAGTTCCTTGGCAACTCTCTTTAGGTTCTTAAATGAAATCTTGCCTGTCCCATCATCATCAAATAATCGGAAAGCCTTTAGGATTTCTTCTTTGGTATCTTTTTCACTCTTTGAAGAAAAGGAAGGGGGAGAGAAGTAAAGGAAGAAGAAGTGCTGACTCTTACTCCAACTGCACAAAAGCAAATTTTATGTCTTACCATTTTTTGGGTCATCATAGTCAAAAAGTCTTCAAACTCTATGATACAGCTTCCTTCTTTCCCGATATCTGCTACCATCTTTCTAATTTCTTCTTTCTTTGGCTCAAAGCCAAGAGCACGCATTGCAACCTGTAATAGAAATGCAAACCCCTTTTATACACACAAGTTGGTGTTGGAAACATAAGGGAGAGCCACCTGGAAGCTTGCGTGACTAATGGGCACCAGCTGATTAGCAAGACAGGAAGCTGCCTTAGACCAAGTCAGAAAAATGGTCCCTCTAGATCAGTATTGTCAACACTGACTGGCCAGAGTTTCAGATTGGTATATATTTTTTCCAGTCCTATCTAGAGGTTGAAGCTGGGACCTTCTGGATTTTTTGAAAATTTCAATAAATATGTTATTAAAAAAAAATAAAAAAAATGAATGACTCTCGAGTTGTGGTGCTCATCTCGCATTACAGGTTGAGGGAGCCGGCGTTTGTCTGCTCCGCAGACAGTTTTTCCAGGTCATGTGGCCAGCATGACTAAGCTGCTTCTGGCGAACCAGAGCAGTGCACAGAAATGCCGTTTACCTTCCCGCCGTAGCGGTACCTGTTTATCTACTTGCACTTTGACGTGCTTTCAAACTGCTAAGTTGGCAGGAGCAGGGACCGAGCAAAGGGAGTTCACCCCGTCACGGGGATTTGAACCGCTGACCTTCTGATTGGCAAGCCCAAGGCTCAGTGGTTTACACCACAGCGCCACCCGTGTCCCTAGGATCACACTATAAATCACTAAAAGAATACACACACATACCTTTAATTCTTTAACGTCAATGGTGCCAGATCCATCTGTGTCAAACAAATCAAAAGCTTCCCGGACCTCCTGCTTTTGCTCCTCGGACAATTCATGTTTCAGCCCACTTTTCCTTCGCAGGTTAGCACCCAAGGTTGGTCTTCTAAAACCGGATGCCTTTCATTAAGCGAGAGAAAGAGAGAATTTAAAAATATTATTTGCAGAAAGCTAAAAATAGAATGCGGGACACGGGTGGCGCTGTGGGTAAAACCTCAGCGCCTAGGGCTTGCCGATCGCATGGTTGGCGGTTCGAATCCCCGCGGCGGGATGAGCTCCCGTCTTTCGGTCCCAGCTCCTGCCCACCTAGCAGTTCAAAAGCACTCTTAAGTGCAAGTAGATAAATAGGTACCACTTTATAGCGGGAAGGTAAACGGCGTTTCCATGTGCTGCGCTGGTGCCGGCTCGCCAGAGCAGCTTCGTCACGCTGGCCACATGACCCGGAGGTGTCTCCAGACAGCGCTGGCACCCAGCCTCTTAAGTGAGATGGGTGCACAACCCTAGAGTCGGACATGACTGGCCCGTACGGGCAGGGGTACCTTTACCTTTACCTTTACCTAAAAATAGAATATTACATAGTTATCATATTCTAAAAAAAAAAATTATGTCTACATGTATTTGATTTGCCAAAGTTGCTAAAATTAAAGAGCCGAGGACTTTTGGGCCACAATTGTTTACCTCCCCGCCCCTCACTGTTCTGTATTGAAGTACCTATTATGACTACTCGCGCAAAGGTGTTCTCACAGGTCTATATTAGATATGGAACCAGATCAGGCAATTCAACCCCCTTCCCCCAGATCTGGCCCCTCACATATTGGGGAGAAAGCACGCACAACTCCTTCCCTCCTTCCTAGCACACCAGCGCCACCTGCCCCTCCCCATCTCTACCTGTGGGGATGGAATGTACAACGGCCGCCCACATGTGTACAGTTATCAATGCACATAGGCAAAAAGAAAAACATCAGGTTTGATTTTCCTATTAAAAGCAGGAAATTAAGCACGCACACAATTATCATCTACGCACATAGAATTGTGCAAGTGTCACTGGGTTTTTCCCGCCTCGCATATACCATGAAGGGCATGGCAGACATGGTGGGTGGAGACAAGCTGCGCACACATGCTCACCTCCACAAACTGGGGAGATGCATTGTCCAAGGCAGCTCATTCAACAAATACATGTTTGAACATACACAGGCAGTCCAGCTGTGTTGTATAAGCCTTTGCCCCAAGTAAGCATGCAGCCGTGCCACCTCACCCTATGCAAAGAGGAGCTCTAGGTAGATAGGCACAGACCAGTACCTTTTAATGCAGCTACTAAGCTCGCTTTTCACTTTCTCAACACCACTTCTGAAGTCACTTCTCTCTTCTGTTTGGCAGCCTTGCTTTGCACCCATTTTCACCTTCACCCCTGTGTCTATGCCTCCCCTCTTATTTTGTGCAATCCACCCTTGCACACAGCCCCTCCCACGCTAAGCTGGATCTTCTCCCCCACCCCCATATTAAACTACTAAGCTCCTTTTTCACCTACTGCCCACTTATTAAGCCCCCATCACCTGTTCTTCAAACACTTTCCTGCCCTTGTTTTCATTATCCTATGCCTTCTGCTCCCTTTTTTGCAACTCCCTTCATACCCATTTTCCCCTTTACTCTGCATCCTCCTTCCACACAGACCACACCCACTTTCATATCTCCTCGTCTATTTCGCAGCCTCCCTTTGCCCACACACTCCGTTATTATCTTCATCCTAACTCCTTTTTTCAACTCCTCCTTACACAGAGACCACATCCGTTCCCATGCTGTAGCCACTATTGCTGTGATTATATAAGTTGCTGTATCTTTAAGGCAAATAGAATCTTAGAGAAGCACACCGGCCAGTTACTTTGTTCAGTTAGAGAAGGTTCAGTTCAGTTGATAGATGTTGTACCTATACATACATGGGTGTTTATGCTTGCTAATAAAATACCTATTCTAAATGATTACATTGAATCTGGAACTTCATGTTGAAAACAACACGTCGTACCAGGGATGAAATATATTGTGCTAAAGTACTGTGGAATATTTGAGGGCTCTGCATCCTTTTAACTCTTTCACACAGGGCAGCTGAGGAAAGGAAGAGGGAGAAAATTTGAGTACCGTGGTACCTCGGGTTACATACGCTTCAGGTTACATACGCTTCAGGTTACAGACTCCGCTAACCCAGAAATAGTACGTACCTCGGGTTAAGAACTTTGCTTCAGGATGAGAACAGAAATCGTGCTCTGGCGGCGCAGCGGCAGGCCCCATTAGCTAAAGTGGTGCTTCAGGTTAAGAACAGTTTCAGGTTAAGAACGAACCTCTAGAATGAATTAAGTACTTAACCTGAGGTACCACTGTACAAGAAAAAAATGAGAGGCGCTGAAAAGAAAATGGCAGTTTTAAACGGTGGCAGAGGGCGACAGTGAGTGGAAAATTGAGGTTTTAAATAACAGAGTAGAGCAAGCAGAGGGAGATAACTGAAGGGGAAAGTGGTGGTTTAAAACAAAGCTTCAGAAAGGAGTGGAGAGAGGCTCTGTTGTGTTACCTTTTCGGTGTTTTTTTGTATCCACCTCTGCTGTTTCTCCTTGTTAAAACCTTTTTTGCAAATCTATTCAGACTTTTCCCACTTCTTCCCCCTCTCAGTGTCCTTCCCTTCTAGTTCTCATGCCACAGCCACAGCTGTTGTGCAACCTGACTTCTCTTTGACTCCCCTACCCCTACCCCACCACGACTTGGATGCAAATCCAGGATTGTGATGTGACACTGCAAATCTTCTAGTGGAGGCTGTGTGATGGCGGTCTTACCATTATACACACACATGCACATTGTGTGAAGAAGGCATGTTGAATAGTGGCTGTTCAAACTGCCTCAGAGAAGGAATGCTGCTGCTACTTGGAGGCACGACACAAGTTTGCACAGACGTCTGGAGTGTCTGGGGCAAACCGAGCAGACCCAGTCACCCTGAAAGCCAAGTAACCCTTCCCCCCAACTAAGTCTAAAAAGTGGAGAGGGGCAGGAAAGATGGGGGCTGGCACAAGAGATCTAGGGCTTGGGCACTGCTGCCCCACAGTCTTCTAAATTTGAGATGGAGGCATCAGTTATAAAGCTAAATGGCACACTTACCTGCAAGTAACTCAGTGGGTCTTACTTCCCTGTAAACATTCAAAGGAGCACTGTCAGATTCATATTGGCGTTGTTTTTACTCGCCTCTGCTTATTATAGCAAACCTCGAGAAAACCACGAATAACATGATGGGGGGGGTGAAAGATGTTCCGGGGTGGGCAGGCTTTGAAGAGATTGGAATGGGCGGGCAAACAGACAGATTTACCAGCTCTGGTCCTCATAAGTAGCAGGCGGGAGCAGGCACTGTTTTATAATGCATGAAGAACTGCGGGCAGGAAGCACAACTCACCATTCTGTAAAATCTGTCTCGCCCCGCGCTTGGTTCGCTCAACGAAGAGGCGGATGCCGACTCTTCAACCACCTGCGTTCTCTGACTCATGTCGCTCCGCCCCTAAAAGCTGAACACTGTCCAATGACAGAAGGGATTCCCGGCAAGCCCCGGCTCCTTTTCTCTTCCCAGGGCCAACCAGGCGGCAGGAGGGGAGTTGCGGGCCTTGTGACATCACGCAGAACGCTGTTGCCGTTTCTGGCTGGATACACAAACAAAGCGGAGGCGGTGTCCTGACAACCGCCCCCCCCCCAGGGCGCCGCCGTGCTGTTAACAGGGAGGAGAGACTGAGCGGCCAGGGGCTTGATTTATGTCAGGAAGCTGGCCCCTTCTCTATTTGCACTGCGGAGTCCTGGAATAAATGAGGGAGCAAAAAGGAGGAGGAAAATAAACTGCCTTTTAGCATGTGCAGAGTGTCTCTACTAGTACAAATCCCTTAGTCACACATTGACCCGGGTGGGGAGAACCCTGAACGCCATAGTGCGGTGATGCCAAAGTTGTGAGCAAGCTTTGGAGCTCTCCAGGACGCTTCTTTGGCGTGAATGTTAATACTGTACTGGACGTGGGTTGCGCAGGTATCAGGGAGCGAGGGAGGAACAAGAGAGTACAGGAGTCAGAACAACGAGGTGAAAAGGCTTCAGTCTGCAGTCTGTCCCTGCAGTGGGTTCTCCCTGCACGCTTTACACATTAACCACGCAGTCCTCTTATGCGCCCGCTGACTTAAACGGGACTTGGCTCTCCGGGACGTGCACCCAGTATTAAGGCTGCAGTTAATGTGGTTCCTGGGTGAGGAGAGTTTGAGCCGCAAACACTTCCACTTTGAGAAGCGAGTTCCAAGAATTGGCAGGCAAGCAGTCGCACTTTCTAATCCTTTCGGTGTTGGTTTTGCAAGTCGAGAGGCGGGTGAATACACGCACGCATGCACAGCGCACTTCTCTGAAATATTACACTTAAACGATACTTTCAAGGCAGCATATTCAAACTAATTACAGTCAATACAGCTCTTTTCTGCGAATCTACAACGGCTCGGAAGAAAGAAATAGCGGCTATGACTGAGCACAGAGAAGCGCGGGGGAGGGAATCGAGAAAATCCAGTAGCAGCAATTCTTGTGCCTTAAAAAATTTGTGTGTGTGGTCCCTTCCCTCTTCAGAGACCACCCAAAAAATGCTCGGGGCACACCTCTGCCCTTTTGTATTCTCTGACTGGTTTCCGGCCAACGGCCACTGCTCTTCCACTTCTCTTGTCCCGCCCCTTTACCTTTGTATCCCCACTAACAGCAAAGGCTGGGCTATCATCCCAGCAAGGGTTGGGTAAGGGCAAGGGCTTCAGTAGATGTTACTGAGCATGCTCGGAGCTCAGGAGCATGCTCAGTAGAGTGCCTTGAATTCCGTCCGGGGCGGGCAAGAGAGTTTGTGCTTGCAGGCTAGTGGGGGCTGGAGGGAGAGAAAGAGAGAGATACACACAGAGAGAAGCGAAAGCAGTTGGGAGCTCTGTGGAAGGGAGATGAACAACTGATGCTTAGGCTCAAGGCACAGCGTGATGCCATCTTTCAGAGGGGAACCTAAAGTTAAGCAGGTAATGTATTTTTTTAGGGCTGGCCGCTCCGGGCGGTGTGCTGGGAAGTATTGGGCTATGGTGGTCCTGCTGCCCAGGGAGAGGGCAAGACCTACGCAGTCCTCTCTCCGGGTGCTAAGTGCAGGTGAGCCACCTGGCTAGCACGGCAAAGTTGCTCTGTGCCTTCCCTTTGGGGGATGCAGCAGTATGGCTTGAGCCTGCTGGGTCCAGTTCCTTCCTACGGCACACAGCTCAGGCGGAGAGAGGGAGCAAGCAAAGGTGCTGGCAGTTGCCTTGGTCACTTGCTGCGTTGCTTAGCACAGCACAGAGCAGAACATCCCGTAGTAAGCGATGGCACCCACTCAACAGGACACAAGCCTTCCAGGAACCGCTACAGCTTAGTAGCAGCTGTTATGCACACAGCCTTCCTGGGAAATTGAGGCCTTGGCAGCTGCCCAGCTATGCAAGCTCTTCATGCAAGCCTTGAATATTTTTTCCAGGCATTACCTGGACACCACAAAGGACAGAAGGAAGGTACAGAGATGGGGTCACATTCCCTTTATTTGTTCAGCCCGTTATCCATCATAAACCAAACAAGTTAATAATGCACCTGAGTTTTAAAACCACTTGACCTGCATGTTCATGCTACTTCAGAAATGGGAGATGTATTTATTTATTGCCTGAGGGCTATTTTGCCAATTTATTGCCATGTGTGTGCCAAAAATGCACCTGTGAGCACACAAATGCACATTTTCAACAGCTAAAGTAGGGTTTTGATTCCCTTGGCCTCTGACCTGGCATGCCATGGCAACCCTACTCTAGTATACTCTGTGTGTGTATGTGTGCATTCATTCAGGTAAAAAGTGTTTCTAAAGCATTCAAAACCAGGAATTTTTTCTGCCCTGGAAGAGGTGTTTCCTCAGGACATAATGGTGATTCTGAGAACTGCCTTGCCAAATAGAACACTTTGGAATCCTTTGGTGTGGCCAACCTAGAATCCACCCAGGAAACGGATCCAGATGCTTCATCTAGTATCATCCCCTGTTTCTGCTTCTTGTGTTACTTAGACAATTAAGGATTTGGTAGGTTTTGCAACAAAAATGATGCAAGTCCATTATTTTAATGGAGAAAGACATATAGCCTCCCCCATTTCCTGTCCTTGCTCCTGTGATGTTCTCTTCCTAATAAAGTCCTCACAGTTTCTCTGGTAGTGGATGTGGTTTCTTTACCTTCCTTAATTCTAATGCTGGCATCTTAGTTTCCTGTTCTGCACCCACTTGGTATCCCCCAATATGTGAGAAGCATGGATTTTTATTTCCGTCAGGAAAATGGATAAGTTGATATATCACCTTGGAAACATTAAAAGTAAGATCCAACACTGTGGAATGGATGAAGTAAGAGCTGGAAGGCATTAAAAGGCAGAAGCAATAAGTCTTGTGTTTCATTTGTAGATGTCATGGCTTTCCGGAACATGAACAGAAAGAGGCATATTGGACTGCAGCAACTTTCAGCTTTGGCATCCACCGGAAGGACATTTTTAGGACCAGTGAAATCACTCAAATTTATTGTTGATGAATGTACTCCTGGTGGTGTGTTGGTTTGTTCTGCAGTAAGACTTCTTGAAAGCTTGGATTTAACTAGTGCAGTGGGACAACTTCTTAATGAAGCCATCCAGGCACAGAACAAAGAATATAGAACTGGGACAACTACCCTGTTGTTTCTTGTCAGCATTTGGAGCAAGGCTGTACTTGAATGCCTTCAGCAGGGTGTTCCCCTTTCCATAGTGGTAGCTGAGATGTTTGAAGGCCTGAACTCTTGCATTGAACATCTGCAGTGCCATACATTATCACTACACAACATGCAGCAAAGACTATATGATATTCCTTTTAAATGTGATGACAAAGCCTCCAATGACATCTGTTCTGGCATTGCTGGAAAACAGGTAATTGAAATGAAAACTCCAGATACCAAATCCTACAATAGTTATTTGCTTGAACATCCTTATGATTATGCACAAGTATCAGAAGAAGAATCAGAAATTGCTACAATCCCGGAAGCAAATGCATGCTATTGTCAGGGAAAGTGTGCATGTCCAGGAGTATTGACTGCAGGCAGCAGAGTTAGTTCACTAGGTAAATCAGTCGAAACCAGTTGTGGTTTTACAGTTTGCAAAACTGTGAGTCAGAAAAGCTTTAGCTTTCAAAGCTGTCCTTTGGGTGCCTCAGGCCGTAAGAAAATATCAAAAGTAACCCACTTCAGTAGGCACTTAAGCAGTATAAAGGAAAGTCCTTCACTGCAGCAAACCAATCAGCTGGCCAAATGCACAAAACCTTTTAATGGGTTAAGTGATTTGGGGCAACTGGCAATGTCTTTGAGCCATGGAAATTGGCACGCAATGAAACTGGTACAGGATATTCTCAGATGCCAGCTGCAGACTGCCAACAGAATGGCTGTTGTCCATCCTTTCCAATTGAATATTTCAGAAGTTGTGACGTGTTGTTTACCAGGCATGTCTGAAAGTCATTCTTGTGTCTGTCCTGGGTACATCACTTTATTACACCCAGAGAAAGTTGCTGTTGCTAAGCAGCTCCAGGATAGGCCTCTTCGTATTATTCTTGCCGATGGTGACCTGAGCGAAACATACCACCATCTGGGGTTTAACAGGTCACAGAATGTAAGAATGTTCTTAGAAAGTCCAGCTGCGGAAGACAACAGCTCAAGATTGTGGGTCAACTCCATGTTGGATATTCTGATTCAGTCCAGGGTAAATCTAATTTTGGTACGAGGCAACACATCAGCAAGTTTAGAAGAAAGATGCCTGCTGAATAAGATAGTGACAATTAACGGGGTAGCTGACAATGTATTGAAGGCTTTTAGTGATGTTACAAGAGCAGACAGAGTGACTTACCTCACCCAAGTCAATGAGCATTGCATAGGTGAGGGTGTCTATCTGAACCTCTGTGGAGAATTAAAGTTAAGTTGGGTTGGATTGAATGGCCAAGTGCCAGTTGCTTTAACAGCAAAAGGCATTCACCTGATAACAGCTGTGCTTAGTTGCCCGGTTATATCCAAGATGCAAGCCACCGAAGATCAGTTTTGGACCTGCGCTCACCGTGTGCATCATGCCCTTCTTGATCAAGCAGTCTTTCCAGGAGGTGGCACCGTGGAGCTCCTGTGTCTTGCTTATCTTGAGAATCTGGAGAAAGCAGCCAAGAATTCCAGGGAAGAAGGGTTTCATGATGGCCACTCTTGGCTTGCAAAAACTTCAGAGCAATATAAAGCTCTTGTGCTCAATGCTTTGTCACGCGGTTGGCATCAGTACATTTGTACCGTTATGTGTAACAGTGCAGACTCTGCATCGGAGCTTGAAGCCAGCACCTTTATACAACAGCATCTCAGGAAAGCAGCCTTGAGTGGTGTGCCGTCCACCTACCTGCTGGATGAGTTTAAAAAGGGGAGGATGGGAACAGCAAGCCCTGAACACGGTGGGACATTTGAAAAGCCTCTGAAAGTATATGACAATGTTACTGCCAAGATGGAAGCGTGGCGTAGAGCTCTAGATTTGGTGCTGTTAGTGCTTCAAACAGATGCTGAAATTATCACAGGGCCTAAGAGGGATCAGTTGCTAAAGTCGCAGGCCTCAAGTGAGTTCATGTTTTTGTAAGTAATGTGCAGGCCTGCATATGGTTATGTTAACAAGTATTCCTGGCCAAGTTCAGAAGCAAAAAATATATGACGAGAATAAAATTCAGAATGATTGCCTTCTTTGTTTTAGAAATCAAAATCCATTCCCAAGAAAGGACTCAAGTCATGGAAGGGCACGTTCCTCATAACCTCCATTTAATCATAATTTCTTTTATTTTTTCCTAGATATTGCCATTGACCATAAATGTGTTATCAGTAAGTTCCATTCATTTCAGCAGGACGTAAAATTGTGTGATAATCTTGGCTCCCTTCAAGCTGAGCTATTTAAGGGTTCCATTCTACAGTACAACTAGTTTGTTTCTTTTTAAACTGATATAATTCTTCTTTATAAATTTAGATGGTGCCTTTTAACTTTGTTTTAAGGCATGCAAATAAATTTAAGGTTATAAATTTGGGGGGGGGACACACCAGTAAATCATTAGGTTACATGGGTGGAAGCAATAAAGTGCCATTGAGATTTCTTTTTGGACGTTCCAGTGACTGTCCTTGAGGGGGAAATCTGTTATCGCCTCTCCTGGGGACAGGGATTACTGGTAATTGCTAAGCCACTCTGGGTATTGTAGTCTTGTGAGAGCAATGGTGATCTCCTAGCAACTCTAAGCATCCTTAACAAACTACAGTTCCCAGGTTTCTTTGGGGGAAGCCCATGACTTTCAAGCAGTATAATACTGCTTTAAATGTATAGTACATAAGAGGCCTTATCTCAGTTGTTGATGTTACCCACATTTGCAGTTCCTCAAAGGACCCATAAGATACTTCAAGGGGGGGGTTCAAATAAAGCCTCTCTGCAGCTTAACTCTGCCAAAACAACTCTTGTGCAACACATCTGTTGGAAGGAGTTGCTGACACAGGAACACCAGTGTATTACTCTAGCCTTGGATCCCAGCAGTAGTGTTGCTGTTGTTGGCATCTGTCTGTCTTGAGAGGTGATGGAGTCAAACAAATGCATTAGTAGCCCTGAAGTGATATATCGGGGGCACAAGCCTGAGCAGCATGTATGCAGGTCCTGGGCTGCCTAGATGACAAGACCCCACTCTTGGCCTCGCTAATATGCATAAATTCAGAATTGTAGCATGTTCTATATGCACTATATTATAAAGTAGTGTTTGTTTCTGTTATTTTATTTATTTATTACATTTGTATCCTATCTCTCCTCCAATGAGCTCATGGTAACGTATATAGCATCTGTCTCATTTCATCTTCACAAGAACCCTGTGTGGTTGGTTGGGCTGAGAGAGAGAAACTGGTCCAAGGTTACTCACTGACTCTCATGGCATGGATTTGAACCCAGGTTATAGCTAACTGCATCTGATAGAGTAATTACAACTTGCCTCTAATAATTATTAGCTACCTGGTATCAAGTAGATTTCTTCTAAAGGCATGTTGACAAATAGGCATGTAAGTTTTTTCATGCTGTGACAAATAGCAGTTGTGGGGGATTTTCGTGAGGAAAATTGTGCAAGGGGAAAGGGTTAACCCTCCCCCCTCGAACCATGTTTGCAGTACAGATCCCTCTTCCTCCTTGCAACAGCTGTCTGCAAAAAGTTTCTAGTGAGTGGAGATGCATTTCATTCATCTCCTCCATAACATTGCAGCCAACAAACCCTTTAAAACGACTTACCTTTAAAATGAGTAGTTCACACATCGTAGGAAGCTCTTGTGGAAAATGAACATAAATGGTGGTAGCTGCATGATTTCCTGAGGCTGAAACCTTTCCGGCATGACACCAATGCCTGGCACCAGTTGTGTTAAGATCAGATTTATACGTGGCATAAACTGTGGTTCCTGTCTTGTACTCAGATGCATACATTTTTAAAGCATGACATTGGTAGCTCACAGTTTTCAAGTGTGGTTGGGAATTGGAAGCTACTTCAGACCCTGGAAAGTATGAAAAGCCTTCTATACTTAAAACAAACTATTTTGTGAGCCATCAACACCATAACTAATTCCACTAACATTCATTTCAGGAACAAGCAAATCCCAATGAAACTGAGGACTGGGGCTGATACTTTTAAAAAGGTCAGAGATGAGTGCAGCATTTCTTCGCTTGCATTTGTTATAATGCAAATGCAAACAAATATATTTGTTCGCTTGTATTTGTTATTTGCTCTCTGATTGGACCTGGACTTGGGACCCCAGCAACACCCCTGACTGAAGGTTAGGTGAACTAGAGCTTGAAATAGGATATTGAAATGAGTGTGTCTTCTTTTTATCATCATCAATCATCATCATCATCATCATCATTACTATTCCTTTTAGCCAGCAGATGGCAATCTACAGTTCTCTTGTATACCCGAACTCTAAACACATTGCAAAGAAGTCAGTCTAATTAAATCCGGTGAAGATATGCTCTATAGCAAGGGTGTCCAAACTTTTTTCAAAGAGGGCCAGATTTGATGAAGTGAACATGCATGAGGGCCGATCACAGTTGTAGAGCTTTTTTTAGGATTTTACCCCAAAGTTGTTGTTGTTTACCTTTTTTAGGATTCCCCCCCCCCCCGGAGTTCTGGACCTTTTTTAAGGATTAGTCACCAAATACTATTCATATACCTTTTGGCTTGGATCACAGGCAGCACAGAGGGAACGGTGGGTGGGAGTGAGGGATGACTGGAGCGAGGCAGCAAGGGCCAAATGACGGACGGAAGAGAAGGCTGAACGGCCGCTGCCGCAAGCCAGCAAACAGCCAGGATACAGAGGTGGGCACATGCGAGAGCTGACAGGAGGATGGTACCTAGAGCCGAACACAGGGCGCCAGCGCGAGCAGGCAACCAGCAGTGCTGGAGCAAAACCAGCAGAGAGGAGGACATATGCGTGAGACGATGGCTAGCCACAGCAAGTCACAGCGAATAACCACTGGTGGGGCCAGATTAAACCGACTGGTGGGCTGGATTTGGCCCCCGGGCCGGACTTTGGACATGCCTACTCTATAGGGAGGCTGCGTGATTTGACAGCTGATCTGCTTTGACAGATAATCATTTTTTTAAATGTATGGTATTTTTAGTAATCCCAAATAATCAGACTAGAAAGAGCAGCATTAGATCACTGAGCAAAGAAGCTTTGTAATTGCTGGGTTCATGCTTCGTGTTTTCTTGATATTCATTTCGGACAGTTGTCAAAGTCAATAAATTAATTGCTGAGAATACAAAAGGTTCAGGGCTAATATTAAGGAAAGGCTTTGACCATCATACAGTAAGAATAGGTGGGAAATAATTTCACGGGCAATTCCAATTTAGAACAACTTGATTTCCATGAGGCTAAACACAGTTGGCAAAGGTTAGTTGTATCTGTCTGGTTATCACATAGAAGATAGTGATACCTGCCAAGCAATTGGTGGATTAAAAATTCAGCGCAGAGCAAATGTAGAGATATTTCCCCAGTTCTTTGATTAGCACCTTTGTTATGTACTGAGTTGAATAGGATCCAAATGCAGAGGTCTGATTGGTCCTAGAACAATGCAGCAGTATGATTGATCCGCATAAGCCACCCAATCCAGCTCCAGGTGGAAGTGAATCCGTAACCTGATTGGCCTACAGGAGAATTCCGGAATTAGCCAATCACGTGCGGCCCATTGTAAAAATAATGTATATAAAGCAGATATTTTGGGGGAACTTTCATTCCTCACTACTATGAGCTAAATAAAGAGCATGAAATCCACACTCGACTCCGAGTATATTTCAACCTTAAAAAAATCTATGTTATCTCATGAGTGTTGAAAATATTATTTCTTCCCAGAACTATACCATATACTGCCAGGTTTTTTCTGCAGCTGAAAACTTTCATTAGTCCTTCTGATTTTTGTCCTTTACTTGAAGATATTTAGAAAAGTACTTTCCTACCCCCGCCAACTTCTTTTTGGTTTTTGTGTTTCCATTGGTCACTATTTATGAGTATGTTTGAACATGTGACGTAAAAAAGATTCTTCACTGAATGTTTTTGCAGTGGATAAAAGGTAAACAGACAGTTCTGTAGCCTTCTGAAACCTTGTTTTTTCTCATTAAAAGGAAGCCAGTTTTCCTGTGCTAACCTCAGAAAAGGAGCTACACGGGGCTTCTGTGTGGCACGCTGTCTGAGGTAAACAACAAAAAAGTCCAACCATACCATTAAATGGCACTTCAGCGGAGATTCTAAGGCATATATTAACTGGCTAATGCAGAGCATTGATTTTATTTCACACTATTTCTGAAGCACAGTGCATCACTCTTAACTGTGCAAACACGGCAACACACAACCATGGTCCCCAAGGTATTATTTTTGGAAGTCACATTTTGAGCAACACTCAGAAACCTCAGTGCGTTATGTACACTGGGGCTTGATGGGCAGTGTAGTGCATCTCGAACCCGTTCACCATAAGAATGTCAGAGAAAGGTCACTTCAAGGCAAAAAGATGAATGCAAGTTGTGGGATAAATCAGCCCTCAATAAAACTGCACATTAGACATAATAAACAGTATCATTACTCACTGGAAAATGCTTAATGCTTTTTGTTATGTGTAAAACAGCAGCAGGAAATCCCCTATTTTGGGGTGGGACACATGAAGATGATGTCAGATGAGTCTCATTGCTGAGCCAAATTAATAATAATAATAATAATTTATTATTTATACCCCGCCCATCTGGCTGGGCCTCCCCAGCCACTCTGGGCGGCTTCCATAAAAACCAAAAATACAGTAAAATCACATGTTAAAAACTTCCCTGAACAGGGCTGCCTTAAGATGTCTTCTGAATGTTAGGTAGTTGTTTATCGCTTTGACATCTGCTGGAAGGGCGTTCCACAGGGCGGGCGCCACTACCGAGAAGGCCCTCTGCCTGGTTCCCTGTAGCTTTGCTTCTCGCAATGAGGGAACCGCCAGAAGGCCCTCGGCGCTAGACCTCAGCGTCCGGGCAGAATGATGGGGGTGGAGACGCTCCTTCAGATATACTGGACCGAGGCCGTTTAGGGCTTTAAAGGTCAGCACCAACACTTTGAATTGTGCTCGGAAACGTACTGGGAGCCAATGCAGGTCTTTCAAGACCGGTGTTATATGGTCTCGGCGGCCGCCCCCAGTCACCAGTCTAGCTGC